ACCGCCCACACAAAAAAAAAAAAAAAAAAAAAAAAGACACCGGCGACGTGGGGCGAGCGGGGTCGGGCAGCACGTATACGCGCGCGCTTTTCTTTTTGGTTTTCAACGCGCATAGAAAGCGGACGTGGACAATCGCGAGCGAAACCCGCGGCGCATAATAAACACATCTAAACGAAACGGGCACCCACGCGCGCACGCCCGCGGGCACGCGCGCCCATGCGCAAAAACAAGAGCGCGCACCTAGGTCCGCGCAACGAGGCGGCGCGCGCGAACTAAGTTACACGAGCGGGCAAGCAACCAAAGGGGACCAGCAACCCAGTGCAAGCAGATAGAGCCAGCAATCGCAACAAGCTTCGGCACGTCTGCCATCGGGCCTTGACCACTTTGGGCCAATCGGCGCCCTCGTCCATCTGGACGCGGCGCGCCTGGACTCGTGCTGCGCCAGCCACGCGCAGCGCGCGCAAACCAATTTCACCCTGCCAAACGTATAAAAATCATTGATCCGGATTGGATTTCACGGGTTCACGCGAACATGCGCCGACGCCGGCACATCGTCGTTGTCGCGCCGGCACAGCCCCAGATTTTTGACAAACCCCCGGATTGCGACGCTTCGGGGCCACCTGGAACCTCGAGGCCGACCGCCTAACCTCCTTGGGGATGGGCTCAGTTTCGAGCTCTTCGAGAGAATCCGCCGCCCCAAGTGACATAAAAGAATCGACTTCCACGGCGCAGTGGCGGCTGAGCTGCCCCTTCGTGGCAAGGGGGGAGAGGTGCGGTGGAGAGGGGGCATTTGAAGCATCTAAGCTAGCGGCTCGAAGTCCCCGAGCGCAGAGCCCGCTGAGGCCTTCTGGGCCCCGGGCCTTCTTTTCGTCGAGCTCCCCTCTAAGATCCTCTAGGGCCCCCGCCTCTTTCTCCATCCTTTCTGGTTTCTCGCCCTCTTCCTTCCCCCCCTGTTCAACCGATGCTCTGAGGCCCGCTGTGTCGCTGTCAGGTCTGGAGCTCGTTTACCAGCGATTGCGTCGCTCAACGTGGAATATGGAAGATGCCGCCACGCGGCATCATACAGCATGGCGTTCGGGTCGCAAGCCGGGTCGCAAACCCGTGGTCGATGGATGCCGGACGGAGTCGAGTCTTTCGCGAGGCCCACCTCCAACTTTGGCGAGGGCGGCTCCTACTAAAAAGGCTGCTTTATCGGCGGGCCCGAGGACAGTCGGCATCCACCCGATGCCCCGGGAAACCCGATCGAGATCAGCCAGGCGCCCCGTGGCCCGATCCCAGGAGCCCCGACCGGCCCCAGGGGCCGAAGGAATCCTGGAAGCCAGGCGATCCCGATTGCTCTGGGCCCCCAGGTCTCGAAGAATAATCGCTTGCGCTTTCGGGTCCGGACCCCAGTCTCCGAAACCCGTTCTTCTGGTCCAGCTCTGGCAAAGCTCCTAGCGGAAAGCAGGTCTTCAGCTCTCCGGCGAGCCCTCCTCGTCGCGCGCCCTCTGGACGTCCTCGACCGACCGCAGTGCCATCGCGATCCTCACGATGTCCTGACCCGTCAGAGGTGCGGGTGCCGCTGTGGCTGGGAGCGCGACCAGGTTCTCCTGCGCCGTCGCCAGCTGCTCGGCCATGATATGCATCTGATCCAGCAGCGTCTTCATCTGCTGTTCCTGTAGCTCCCTCTGCGGCATGGCTGGCTTGCTCCTGAGAGCTGCGGGCGGCGACTTGAATGCCGTAGGCGGGAGTCCGCGAGGAACCTGAGATGGCTCCAGAGAGCCGCCCCGCCGCTGAAGAAAGTGAAGCGCCTGCTCTGGCGCCATGTCGCTCGAGCCGCCAGCCGCCGACGCCTTCGGGCGCGCTCCTGGAGCCTTCGGGCGCGGAGGATCGTGCGGGACTGCCTGGGCCAGCCAGGGGCCGCCGGGCGGTCCCGAGTAGCCCTCGACCATCCGCTTGCACTCCTCCTTCATCTTCAGACCGGCCTCGCGCTTCACCTCCCCCGCGTGCTCCTTTGCCTGAGCGAGAGCCTTCTCCTGAGGAGTCTTCTCGCGCAACGACAGGCGCTGCTCGCGCATCTGGCAGCGAGAGCACACGCTGGCATTGTTGCTCACCTCTGTGGTGGCCCACGGCGGACGCGGGCAGGGCTCCCGACAGTCGAACTTCATCTCCACCGCCTGCGGCCACGTCGTCGCAACTCCGCGGGCCCGAAGGCAACTCGTCGCGACGCGAAGCAAGCGGAGGGCGCTGCGCCTCCAACGCAGGAGCACCGGCGTGAGCAACATGATCCAGAGATTGAACTGCTCGCGACCCTCGTCCCCCATGACTTGCTCCAGGAGGTCGATCCTCTGCAGCTCCTCTGGACCCCCCCCCCCATTCGTCGAGCTCCACATCCTCGTGGGCCGCGCGGAAAGTAGCGGCAGCCACCCTTCTCCTGGGCCTCGACGCTGAAGTCTTGAGCGCCATGCCCTGCTTCACCATGATCGACGTCTGCGGGGTGGATCTCGCGAACAACGCTCCGAGCCGAAACGCCCCCGGAGATCGACCCTGAATCTTGGACCGCCGTTCCTCGAGACACACGCCAACTCAGAACGCTGACTGACTGGCTCTACCTACTGCCCAGCCCCCCCTCAGGTCCTGGCGAACGTCCTCTGGAATATTCCGGTCGATCTCCTCGGGGACCTCGAAGACCTCCGGATTGCCATGCAGGAGTGCCACTGAGCGGCGCCCGGCTGGATGGCGCGCCAGCGGACGCCTGACCTTCTCGACGTCCCCAAGGATCAGCTCATCATTGCCGAGATCGATCGCCTCATTCATCGCTTCCAGCAGCCGCGCAGGCAGGAGAGGAGGGCAACGGTGCGGGAGGACTAGAAATTCAAGCGCCCCACATCCCTAGAAGGAAATGGGCACCCACGCCCTGGCCACAGGCCCCACTCGACCTCCAATACCACTAGCAGAGATACCCAGGGCCGGCCCCTCGTTTACCAGAATGCAAAACCCGCGACGCTCGAACGAGTCGACCATCACCGACAGATCCCCCTTGCCTATGAGTGCCTGCGCCGCCGCGGTGCCTACTAAAGCATGATCATCCATCTGGCGCGAGGATAGTTCTGAGCGCTTCAGCTGGCAGGTTTCCAGCAGGCCGTGCCAGTCAGATACGTTGATGGCCGTGAACTCGGAGTCCACGATCTGTCCACAGAGATACCCTGACGTTCCCAGGCCCGACGAGGCCGTCCCGAAGTTCTCAGACTCCGGCAGCAAGTCGATGAAGAAACTCCTGGGAAGGTCCAACTTCTTCGATTTCTCGGCAGCCGTCCTGTCGGCTTTTGACCGAAAAGGGTTCTTACAAGCTTCTGCCCAGTGTCCTCGATCGCCACAGTTGGCGCATCTGGTTCGTCGTTTGATATCTGACATCATCACGCGGCGGAAACCTGGCTTCGAGGAGCGTCTTCGATCGAAAAAAGTACCGATCTACTCGCATTGCTGCCTTCAGTTTGCGAGCCTCTGCCCGCGTTATCCGTTTCTCTTTTCCAAGGCGGTCTTTTATCAGTGCTCCGAAAATATGTGGAACCTCATCTTCGACAGGTCCTGGTTCTCTATGGCCTCCAAAATCCCTCGACCTCTTCCTCCGGGAGTTCTATAGAGTCGTCAGTTTCCGTCAGGAACGCCTCTCGCACCTCGTCCTCGTCGATCGGGTGTCCTGGGGACGGGGCCGACGAGGATGACGCCTCACCTGGGTCCACGACGAACGTCTTGGCAACGGGGGCGTGGGAGGCCGGAAGAATCGAGAAGGTCTCTTTCACGTCCAGCTTCAAAATGGCGAAGCGAATCGATGCAAAATCAGTACGACCTCCTGCCAGAGTGCGTTTGTTGATCTTGTTATGCGTGCTGAGGCACGCGCCTTCCTCCAGATAACTTGCTTTGATCTCGTCCGGCAGCGCCAGAAAGAATCGCTCTGCATCTCCTATGTCGGAATCTCGCCTCAGGACGTACTCTGAAAGGGTCTCTCCCTTTTTCAGCATGTAGTTGAACAGGGCTGTGTTTTGTGCTTGCCTCTCGCGGTCCCCGGGGCGTTCGCCACTCAGTAGGCGCAGGTGGTCCCTCAGTTTCTGGACCCCGTCCTCCTCGCCCAGGGAAGCCCATATTGTCCGAAATTTCGTTTGTAGATCTACTGGTAGTCCCTCAAGTATTCTGCTGGCGCGGGTCTCAGCACGAAACCCCGCTCTTTTAGTCCAGGCCACGATGTTGTGTCTTCAGGTCTCCAGGTTAACGATACCCTAGCCAGGTCGGAGGCGAGCCGAAATCACGATTTAGCGGCGAAAGCCATCATCCCTCCCAGGAGCTCTCGCCCACGTTGTTGTCGTTCCATCCTCCCCACCACGAAGAGCTTTGCCACCAGTTGTTCCAGTTCCCAGGAACCCATTCCCGAGGAGCTGCGGTACCTGGCGGATCCCCTGAGGCTGTTGGAGGCCCGGTCGCTGGCGTCGACGATTGATCATTTCTTCTCCTGTTCTCCTCGTGCGCGGTGGTGCCGCGCTTGTCCTCCTGGTCCTCGGCACCTGGATCCCCTGCAGGCTCAGCCAATCTCTCGGGCATCGCTCCGCTTACCACTGTCACTAACAAAAAAACGATTGGCGCTGGAAGCCCAAAGAGGCTGGCGAGCGGAGGGGGCACTTTCTGATGCCAGGGACGGAGGTCAGCAACGTGCACTCTCGCGCAAAGCCTAACGGCTACGGAGGCGATACATACAGACAAGAGAGAACACACACACACATACACACACACACACACCAGGCCCACTAGGGCCAAAGAGCAACATGAGCCACCTCGAGCAAATTGTTCCTTGAGCCAAAATGGCTTGAGCCAAAATGCTCGCTCCTCGCCCTCCTCCTCCTCCTCCTCCTCCATACTTTTCCTCCTTCTCATCCTCCCCCTCTTCCATCCTCTCCGTTTTCTGCCGCTGTCCGGACTGCAAGAGACTAGCGCGCAAGGCGCCCCGACCCCCCAGGGGCGGCCGCCGCCTGAGCCCGCACCGCTCATAAACTCTGGCGGGGGCGGCTTCTCTGGCGGCGGCTCGGGCGGAGCCTCCTCCGGCTGCGTTTCCTTGCCCTGCCCAGCGGCGCGGCCGCCACGGCGAGGGGGGTGCGGAAAGGAGGACTGGCGTCGAGCGGCGCTCCTGTCTGAATATCAGCATTTGGACAGATTCCTTTTCCCCTAAACACGTAACGATGTAAGCATCCATCTGTGTAGTTCCAGTCCCCCATAGGAACCTGTATTCCATCGAAGTGCACGTTGTTTGCAATTGCATGTTCAATGGGGGGAACAATGCACCTCATCGAATCTGTTGGGCACCCATATTCTTATGGCCGACCATAGCCGCCTCCCTGGCGATGCGTTGCAAAGGCCGGCTCATGCTTTGCGCCGCGACTGCCGTCGAGCGTTTCTATTAACGACGCAATGCGATACATCCGAACGCTGCTGCCCACCAGAACCCATCGAACGAGCAAACCCGACGATGGAAACGACGACACGGAGGGCGAAGACCAAACCGACATCGAAGAGGGCGACCGCGACGAGACGACGGCGCCGGTATCACGAGATCTCTATTTATCCCTAAAATTGTTGTGCCACTGTAAGCGTATCTCTCTCAATACCGCTCTCTATCCCTACCGTTATCTCTCTCTCTGCCTGTGTCTCTACATCACTACGCGTCTCCTACTATGTATCGTTTCCCTATATATCATTATCTAACTGTACGCATTGATGTAGGTGTCGTTCGGTTTGTATGTATATATGTATAATGCATATACTCATATATTTATGCATGTATGAGTTAACTATACATACATGCATACACACATACATACATACATACAGACATCTACGTATGCATATGCATACACATGTCCACATCCATTTGTATATATATATATATATATGTATGTATGTATACATGCACAAACTAGCAGGAGCACCTCTCCCCAGGAGTGGAGCTCAGAAGCGATGATTGGTGAAGCCGTCCTGTCAGCGCTTATTCTGGCCGTTCCACTCAAGACATAAACATGCTTGACATTCTAGAAACCAGACGCACTCTGCAGGAAGATCGCAATGCCAGGGTCGACAACCACCACGAATTCACGACCGTTTCACATTTCGCCTTCAGAAGCACAATGGTTTTTCGCGGTGCTGCATGCAATTGCGGAACAACAAAGCATTGTTCATGTCTGCGTTGTGCTTCAGCATTGGTTTAAAGAACCCCTGAAAAAAAACATCACAACAAACCTCGCACACACATGACAAACTCCTGAGGACTACATCAAAACTCTCGAACAACAAATGCTTGTTATTGCCTGTCATGTAGAGTTCTACCTTTGCTGAAACACTAATTTCGAACTTTGCTGTAAGGGTGCATTTCTGTAAACCCGCCCGGGCCCTCCGCGACAACGTTTCGCACAATCGCAAGCTGCAACAATCCAATCGGCGGCCCCCATTGCACTCTGAATGAGCCTGGGCACGCCACGCACGTACAACTTGTACACATGTATTGCGTAGCGCGCAAGCTTCCTTGCCCACCGCTTGCGCCCAGCAACCGCGACGGCGCCTGGCGCCCCGCGGACGCAGACATTCTGCGCGACCGCGCGCACGGGCGGGCGTCGCTCGCCAAATAAGGACGACGGCGACAAAAGCAAAGAAAAATCATCAAGGACATGACGGGGGAGCCGACTTACCACCAACCCGTTCCGAGCGACGTCACACTCGCCAGCATCACCCCATCATGACAAGCCTCCTCATCCTCTTCCTCGCAACACCAGTCGCAACACATCTTCAGCCAAGACGAACACTCGGATATGATTCCAGAGTTTGTGCAAACGCCTTCCCGGCCTTGGCCGAGCAGCCCGCCAGCGATCACAGCGGTGGCGAGTGGAATTGTTTGACATGTTGGCCGACATGGAGCCGGCGGAGTGCACGGAGCTCACCGCAGAGCGGCTCGCCCAACACATCGCCTGTCTGGAGGCGGAGTCGGGCGAGGGCGTCGACGAGGTCCAAGCGCAGGTCGAGGCCGAGGTTGGCAGGCTTCGGACTGCAGACGCGAAGCGGCAGATCCAGGAGTGCAGGGAGTGGGCGAGAGGGCACTGAAGGGAAGAGGCAAGTCGGCACAGCGCTATGTTAAGAGGAAGCTGCGCGAGCAGGGCGCCATGTTAGAGGAGCCAGCGAGCGGGGAGGAGGCGGAGGAGACGAAGGCGCAGCCGTTGCCTGTCAACGGCATGGAAGCGCTGGAACAGCTCATACAGGATTGGCTGCCGCCCTGGGCCATAAAAGGCCGATGGGAGCAGTCGCCGGCGGCTTGGGAGGCATGCGACGTCCTGCATGACCTGATTACTGATGATCTGCGTCGTGCATGCCGCTGCTTTGCGCCAGCGGCAAGGCTGGGGTGGGACCTTGTCCACCCTAGATGGATGTGGGTCCTTCTGGACTCTATGCAACTGATGTTCCTCAACATCATCAGGCGCTTCGCGGAGCAGCCGCCATTGCTCGTGGAGTGGCTCACGAACATCATGTTCGTGAACGAGCCCAAGGATGGTGTCGGGCCCATCGGCCTCCTGCCCTTCTTCCCCAAGTTGCTGAGCAAGATGCGGGAAGGAGTATGCCGGGCGTGGGAGGACGACCATCGGATTAAGTCGGGCGTATATCCCTACAGGGGGATCTTGGACGAAAAAATGAAAATCATCAATACCCCCAAATGAGCACCCAAGAGGCCCCCAAGACGGCCCCAAGAGGCCCCAAATAGCGCTCCAGGGCCGGCGGAATGAGCGAAGCGATTAAATTCGCCGGCCCAACGAGCCAGAGGCGTACTAAGATCTCGGGTAACTACTTAACAATATTTCTAATTCGCGCGCGCGGGGCGGCCCCTGGGGGGCCCCGGACGAGAAGTATCCCGGCCGATCCCCGGCCGGGTCCCGGGCGATCCCCAGGGGGGATGCTATTTTTCGTCACCCCTCACGAGGATCGTTTCCTCCGAAGGGGGGCTGCAATCGACTACCCCCCGTCCAGCCTCAAGGGGCCCCCAAGAGGCCCCAGGGGAGCCCAATACGCCGCCAAGGAGCCCCAAGACGCTCCCAAAAAGCCCCCAAGAAGCCCCCAAGACGGCCCCAAGAGGCCCCAAATAGCGCTCCAGGGCCGCCGGAATGAGCGAAGCAATTAAATTATCAAAAAATGCACCAAAATAGCAAAAAATGCTGAAAACATAGTGCCCAGACTATTTTTTGACTATCCGTGGAGGGACAGGCCCGACTTAACCATAGGAAGCACTTGTTTGGGGGATCGAGCTCGTCCACTGCATGCAAGCGCGCTGGCTGGCTGCTCTGGGCGCTCACGGCGCTCGCCAACGCCATCGGGGCCAGCGTGGCGACAGTTCTGCTGGGCGTGCGGAAATTCTATGAGCACGTCCGCTGGGAGGACCTGATTGAAGGGGCCCAGGGACACACAAATAAGTACACACAAATAAGAAGATTCCTACTGTTTCTCTTGGTTTCTGTCTTCCCAACACTTCCCATATTTTCTTATATTTTCGGGAGAATCGACGATTGATTGTGTCTGTGTGTTTGTTCCCCTCCTGACTGATGGACGCGGCGCGCTGCCACCAATTCCCCACGCGGCTGCTGCGCAACCCCCTGTACCATTTACGCGAGGCCGCGCGCCCTCCTCGACGCCGAAGCCATGTCAGAGCATGCGAAGGCGATCGGGTCGGTCATTGCTGGGTGCTCAAGGGGCCACGACGTTGGCGAAAGTGCTCCTGCTGACGCCGTCGCGTGGTCCGAGAACAGCGCCTCCTTCTGCACGCGCGCAGTATGGTCGACGGAGCGTGGATAAACGGGTGCGGCAAGGCCCAGGACGTCGCCAGCAGGTGGGGGCGGGCACCACAAGTTTCATGCAAGAAGGTCTCCAGCTGCACCTGCCGCTGGCGATCAAGAAGCAACACTAAATGGGCAGCAACCTCACAGTCGAAGCATTGCTGGAGAAAGAGTGGGAGCTGCTGGCATCGGCGAAGGTATCCCATGACCAGCTTTTGGGCAGCGACTGCACCATGAGTACGGTGCGGCGAGTGGGGCTGGCACGGGCCCGGCAGCAGGAGGCTATGAGGAGAGGCATGAGGATGAGGAATTTGAGGACCGCTGCAGCCGACACCACGCTGGCCCACAGGATGAGTCCGACAGCTGAGGCCACATGGGCATGCGCGGGGGGAGGAGCGCGCAACAAAACCTTGCATGGGCTGCGAATGGCGGCTACTGGCAACGTCGGGAGGCTGCCGCGAGGATGTTCAAAGGGTGTACGTCTGCATTCGCACCGATCAGGATGTAAAGTAGATCCCCTTGTTATCGTCGCCCGCCAGACCCTCGTCATGTGGGCGCAGGCCATCTGGAAGCAGCACGGGGCGCCCAGGATCATGCAGGTGGAGCAGGCGATGAAGAAGCTGCAGGCCGCCGACAAGCCGTGGCGGCTGGTTACGACCCCGGCCGCGAGGCGTTCGAGTCGTTGTGCCGCGTAGGGTGGATCTTCCACAGTGCCACCACCTTCACGACTGACGCGGGCGAGACCACCTCCCCGAATGGTGCAGCAGCTGGTCGGGGGGCGCGTAATGGGGAGGCGAAAAATGAAGGGAGAGCGAGGGCTACAGAAGAGGGGCGCTCTAGGGCCCAAGAGGACTTTCAGAGCCCAAAGGGTGCACCTCCCCCCTCCCATAGTGAAGGGGCCCTGGGACACACACACAAATAAATTTACAGAAGTAACAAGATTTCTGATAGTTTGATATATTTTCTGGGTGTTTGTCTCCCCCCTTCCCATATTTTTCCATAGTTTCTTGGGAATCGACGACTAATTGTGTCTGTGTCCTTGTTTTCTTCCTGACATAGATCCGCAAACTAATCGAGCACGCCGAGGGCCAGGCTTCGGACCGGATGGCCTTGCATGCCCAAGGAAGACTGGGGGAAGGCGTGCCACGGACGCAGCAGAGTCCGACAGGCTCGAGGCAGGCCTGGTATTCTGGACGGCTCTGAAGCCTCTCCTGCACAGGGACACGGCTGGGAACGGATGGAGCCTCAGGAAACAGCGGTCGCTACGGAACTCCATGTCCAATTGCCATTGGTGTCAGCAGCGCCTGGCTGCGCACGGCCTGGTCAAACACCCCCCAGACGCCTGAAAACGGCCCAAAGAACATCTCCAAGAGGCCCTCCAAACGTAAACATGAGTGATTGTCCGATGGCTGTTGTTGGAGTTGTGGGTACTCTGCGGTTCTGCCGCCCGGGCGTCCGAGACCGCACAAGAGTGTTTGTACATATTCCCAGATGGATCCGAATGGGCTTGCACACAACCCTAGAGAACCCCAAGACGGCCAACCAAAGGCTCACGATGGCCCGAAGGGAGCCCCATGACGGCCCAAAATGACCCCAAGATGCTCCCAAAATACTCCAAATCGTGGCCTGGTCGTCGAGAGCAGCTGCTGTTGTTGTTGTTCGCAATAATGAAACCCGAAGAGGCCCCGGAGGACCCCTAAGAGGCTTTCGAAAGATCAGTATTTTTACGGGTTCGCAGGGTAAGGCGAGAACGAGGAAGAGGAACTATGAGGGAATGGATATGTACCTCTCTCTCTCTCTCTCGATCCACCCGTGACTTGTTCGGGCCCAAGACGGACCCAATACGGGCTAAGAGGGCCCCAAGCGGCCTCCAAGATGGTCCAAGCCCAAGATGGCCGCACATCAATACAAAAGGCCTCCACCAAGACGCCCAAGGTGGCCGCACATCAGCACAAGAGGCCTCCAAGACGTCCCAAGAGGCGTCTAAGCGGCCCCCGAAGAGGGCCCCACGAGGCAAAAACATATAATTGTCCTTCTGATGTTGAAGGGTGTTGGTGTTCTCGCCTATTCGGCTTTCCAACGCTCTACAACGGCTCAGAAGGCCCCCAAGACCACACCAAAACGGCAGAAAAGGCTTCCGAAATGGCTCCAAGACTGCCTAAGACCGCCCCAAGACTGCCTAAGACCTCCCCAAGATGGCCCAAGAGGGCCCCAAGACGGTTCCCAGAGGGGCCCAAGAGAGGGAACACGAACCGAAAATCCGAGCCTTCCGCCCCAACAGACCCCCAGGAGTCCCCCAAAAGGCCAGAAGAAACCCCAGGAGGCTCTGAAACAGCCCCCAAGAGGCCTCCAGACTGCCTGGAAAGAGGCCCGCGATGTGCCTTCCACGAGATCCCAACGAACATCCAATAAGCTTCGCACCCGCAATCCAGGCACGGGGGCGGGATGGGCCGAAAACCAATAAATATCCGCCGCCCAACGTTGGCTTGCCACAGGGGTGCCTGACGTGCTAAACCTATACGGATTGTTTTTTATGTTTAAAAAAACATTCGTTTTAAACAAAAGGCTCTCCCTAGGGTGTCGGCCCAGCGCGCTGGCCACCCCGAAGGCTTGTCCAGAGGTGGTTGTCAGCGTTTTTCCCGCTCCAGATGGGTCCACGATGACCCAATATGGCATCCAAGACGGCCAAGACGGCTTCAAATTCGTCCAAGGTTTTTCTTCGGGGCATCTGCACTGACAGATCCTGAACAGAGATTCGGCAGCGGAAATCAGC